AATATTTAGATCACACCTTTTAAGTGTGATTAAAAACATTTAGATCACAACTTTTAAGTGTGATTAAAAACATTTAGATCACACTTGGTAAGTGTGATTAATAACATTTAGATCACACTTTTTAAGTGTGATTAAAAACATTTAGATCACACTTGGTAAGTGTGATTAATAACATTTAGATCACACTTTTTAAGTGTGATTAAAAACATTTAGATCACACTTGGTAAGTGTGATTAATAACATTTAGATCACACTTTTTAAGTGTGATTAAAAACATTTAGATCACATCTTTTAAGTGTGATTAAAAATATTTAGATCACACATTTTAAGTGTGATTAAAAACATTTAGATCACATCATTTAAGTGTGATTAATAACTAATAAAATATGTGATAAAAAAAAAATTGACATATTTGAAGAATATTAAATATTATTTTTGTACGCGCATTTGAAGAATATAATACACACTATAAATACACACTATATACTATATTTTGAATCACAACCATATATTGAATGGAATAACGTCATTTATTTCATAAATGAAAGTTAAATGTTCAAAAACATATACAAAGAAATTAATAAAAAAAATTAACAGTAATTACACATATTAAAAAATTATAAAAGCTTAAAAAAACTAAGTTTTTGAATTCTTTCAAAGCCATGTGGTTCGGCTCGTCAAAAGGTAAGTATCCAGCCATAAGAACAAACAGAATGACCCCACAAGACCATATATCAGCTGCTGTACCATCATAACCTTTATCGGTGAGCACTTGATAGAAAGGGGGAAAAAAAAGAAAGAAAGAAGTATCACAAATGCAAGAAACTAATAAGAAAAGGAAAAAATTTTGCATCAAAGTGACCATCCATTTCCATGACATCATAATTGATACCTCAGGAGCAACATAATTTGGGGTTCCGCAGGCAGTGTGAAACAACACGTCTTCCTACAGTAAACAAGGTAGTCAGTCTTTGATTAAGCAAAGCCACAACACTAACTTATATTGATGAATGAGGGTTAGGTTTAAGGCAATCCATAACTTATGTGTCTGAATGATATTGAGATCATATAACCTCAATGTGGATTAGATCAAGTCTTAAAAAATGGTCACTGAATGTTTTCAAAGTGTCGAAATCTAGATGATGCATGATACAGAATCTTATGAAGAAGTCAACTAATAAAACTAAACTGCCTCCTTGATTTGGGGAAACTAATATAAAAGGAGGGAAAGGAAAGACACAAATCATAAGAAAAAGTTCATTTCCAAATTAATATAAACAAGAAATGAACAAGCCACTGAAGGACAGAAGAAAAACTAATGGCACATTATTCCTGAGGAATTCCTTTCAGAGCAGGGCACTGTTCCTAGCTGGAAAGGTATTTTCTGGACTAGGTGATTTTAGTAAACCAAATAGACTGCAAAATTGACTCACTGCCACAACCACTTTTAAAAATTTAACGTTCAATTTGTTAACACCTACCTGCTAAAAATCTGCTCTTAGATGAGGAAATTGTTGCAAACTCATATAATACTTACCCGCACTTGCTGGGAAAATGCACTCAATCCAAAGTCTGAAACCTTGAGAACACCAAATGAGTCTAGAAGCAGATTCTCGGGCTACAAAAGATGCAGGGTAATGCAAATTTTAGAGTCATGGTCGAATAGATAGCCAAAGAAACCAAATTACTGTTAGATAATAAATTCTTTTTTATAGGAAAAAATTAGAATAAATACATTAAATAATCAATGAAACATGTAAGAAAGTTTGTTAAACCTTTAAGTCTCTATGGTACATGCCTCTACTGTGGCAGTAGTCTACAGCATTGATGAGCTGCTGAAAATATCTCCTAGTTTCATCCTATTTAAGTCTTCCTAGTTTGGCCTAGTTATAAAAGGGTCAATAAGGGAATATTATCAGACAAATACAAGACTCGGTACCCACATGATTTACATAAATGAGCCTCAATAGAACACACATTACCACAACAAAATGGTAAGCATGACATGAGCAAATGCCTAAATTAAGATATAATGCATTACACAATTGATTATATTATGAATGAAATTATAGGTGCTCAGAGAGTAGAAGCTCAAAAAACAATGCCTTATTATTTTGTCAAAAAACTCGCCCTCGCCAACATACACGAGCACAATGTAGATCTTTGTCTTGCTTGCCATAACCTATTTTCAAGCATAGAAAAAGGATGCATTAACATGTAAAACATGAAGCACTTAGACCATCATATTTCTAGTAGTGCGAAGAGCATTCAATTCCTTTTAAATTCTGCTCATAAATATCAAAAAAACTCAAAAAAATGTTGTAACAAATAGACATATAAGATAGGCTACTAGTAGTTAGTTAGTTACCTTGGCATATCAATTGACTCTTCTTAATCTGGCTTTCCTGTAAGGTGGGCGCACATTAAGGGCAGCAGTCCAGTCCTTGATTGCTTTCTCAAATTGACCAAGTTTGGACCTGTAAGTGGCTCTGTTACACAACAACACTGAGTTGTAGGGGTCATGGTCAAGTCCCTCTCCACATGTAACACAATCCTCTGAGTATCTTTATCCCCTGAACAAATCGTTACCGTTAGATCGAGCCATTGCCACCGCCCGTGTCCTCCTAACCACCATGTTCACTTCCTTGCTACTTAAGTCTAGCCGTGCTGCTCTTTGAGCCGCTGCCACTGCATCATCAAATCTGTCAACATAAATACACGACTTCCCACTCATTAAATTTTTTTTTTTTTTATAATCAAAGGTGTTGGATAGTTGTTTTGTTATACCAACAAAACACAATTCAACAAATGAAAAACTAAAAAACAAGAGAGAAACATACGATGTTAAGAAACATCACACCAAGAATGACAGCATTAGCAAAACCAAAACTCAAAACGTGCATGAAAGAGCATGTGCATCGATATTGTGTTATGAAACATTTATAACTCGTGTATTTAGTTTTTTATTTTTTATTTTTTTTTATCACTTTGTGTGTTATCTAAAACTAATTGCAAAGTCCAAAGGCATGTTTTTGCTAGCCCCCCTTAATTTGTCCAAACAAGTCTCATGCACACAACATGTTAATGAAATGCTTCAACAGTTTTCTTATCTTCCCTAAATTGCAATGCTAGTCCATTATCTTCCACTTAACTTCCAAAAAGTTGATTACAAATAGCACATATATACATACATATATATACACACTATTTGTAATTTACGAATAAAAAATATGAAATAAGGGTTGTTGAGTTTTAAAATATTGAATCAGTTAATGCAAAGAGTGTGACAAATAATTCACACTAAACAACTTGTATACTTTATATATAGGACAAGTGGTGTGAGTGGTGTTCTGAATTTTTGAATAGTTTGATGATTGAGTAAACTGATTAGCCATTTATAGTTTGATGAAGGTACAAAATTATTGTAATAGTTATTGGATATGATAGGTACATGATGAAAAATTGGTGGTAATTACTGAGTAAGATTTAGAGAAGAAAAAAAACCTTTGAATTTAGTGGCAAGGATGTAAATGATAGTGTAGCAAAATTATGGAATTTCTTGAAATTTTAATAAACGCAAGATGGGAAATGCAAGGTATGAAAACTCTGCTGTACTTACTCTCTTGATAGTGAGAAAATGCATGGTGTAGAGCTCCATTCAAGAATCCTTCATCAATTCCTTCAAAGACAAACCTTTAAGAAATAATGAAGACATACATTGCATCAGTTAAAAGCTTGAGCCTACAAAACCAAATATTTAGGTGTAGCACTTTCCTCAATCTAAAACTAATGTTTACATTTCAACAGGCACTAACTAGATCACATCACTTTTATTGAACCATGTGGACAATTCAAGCTCTTAATTTAATCAATCTATTAACATCATTCAGTTTTCAAATGCTCTACTGATCCTCATCGTAAAATGCAATGCCCATGTATAGTTGACAATATTTACCAATTGGACCACCGATATACAAAGTTATTCAATAGCCTTCACTGTGAGAGTTTAAAACATACCTGTAACAACCAAAATAATAAATTCTATCCTAGATGATATTATATTACCTAAATTGAGAAAGAAAGATTGTTAGCTTAATATTATTCTCACAGTAACTAATAGACCACTTGCATTCTGATTATTCCACATATCAATGTGATGAAATCATTTTTTTTTTTTTTTTAAATTTGTTTTCAAGACTAGGCCCCAATATAAAAATCTTAACTGAGAAAAGAGTGTATATTCTTTTCTTTTCAACTCAATTTGGAATTTCTAAAGAATGGGATCACCTTTAAATGATATTAAAAAATGCTCTAAAATTTGAAAAATCAAAACAAGCTATACAACCTCCAACAGAATAATAAAGATCAAATAGAAAGATGAAGAAGCATTACTACTTTAAGCTTAAACCTGTTGACTAGGCACAAATACTCTATCACTCAACTCTGAGAGTTAAAACTACACGAGTACACCCCAAAAAATTAACAACCAGCTCATTGTTAGACTGGAAACATATTGAAGATCACAAGCCAGAAGGACATATAGAAAGATAAATTTTCATCTAAAACCAACAGAAATAACCAAAATTGGCATTCTATATGCATCTTTATGCACACCTATTGCTCTAACCATTTGAATGAAGAATCTAGACATAGTGTTTAAATGTAGACTTTCAAAATGCAGAGACTGGAAGATAAACTAAATAAAATGAAGTGGACCATACATAACTAATCAATTAGAGCACCAGCATGCAAAGATACTCAGTAAACAACCAAATTTAAATATTGAAACAAACCCATTCAAAAGACTAATAAGTAAAGATCACAACCTAGATAAGTGACAAAGAACTGATGAACTTTCAGCTCAAACTAATACTACAACTCCATTGATCTGCTTCCATGCACATTTACTTGACAATGATTACTTTGATAGTCAAGATGAACAAACCAAGCAAAAACTAATAAATCAAAGAGCAAGAAGTAAAATTATGACAAAGAACCATTAACGGGGGGAGAGAAAAAAAAAGTATTTTGAGCTGAGTCTGACACTAAAACTCAATTGGACCCACTCAATTAGCCAATACTCTTTCACAAGTGCAATATCTGTAAATTACATATATCTTAGACTAGAAAGTGAGACTTCAAAAAATTGATAATTGAGGATAAAAACCAAATATTCTTAACAGGAAAATGTACTCAGTGTCAGTACCCTCTACCGTAAAAAATTCAGAATAAAGAGCACTCAAATAATAATTGTACCTGAATCACAAACTAGCAGACAATTGGAGACTAGAAGGATTAAAACTTCAATCAACACAGACATTAATATGAAAACAATCACCTCAAATAAGCCCATTAATTCTTATATAAATAATAATTGTATTTGAATAAAAAAAACTAGTAGACAATTGCGCCACCCATGTTCAAATTTACAAAATACCATATTGAAAAGAAAAACAAAACATATTGCATAAAACATGAAATCCCACCCTCATAAGACAATTCATTATAGAAGAAACCATAAAATAATTAGTAGATACTTGGTTCCTGTTGATCTGACTGTCGGTCAGTTTGTGTATGTGGTGCGAAAGAGGATTAAGCTCAGTCCTGAAGAGGCTATCTTCATTTTGTTGAAGAATATTTTGCCTCCCACTGGTGAGATTTAACATCTATCTTTTAGAAATATTATTCTTCCCATCCCTGGTTTTCTTGAGTTTTCTCAATGGAAAAAAATGAAATCTGAAGTAATGTTTGAGTTATTGCAGCGGTTATGATGTCAGCCATTTATGAGGAAAATAAAGAAAACAACGGAATCACCAAAACGAAATTAACTCAACCTAGAAGTCCTCTATTTGATTCAAGAAAATCAAACACAAGAATATAAATTTTCTAAATCTTTTGTTTGCAATTTATTTGATTTTCCCCCAAAATCAAACTAAACTAACCCAAAATACCGAAGACAGGCTCATTTTAACTGAACCCATATAATGAAACACCAATACTCAAAATTTCTATAGTTTGATTGATTATTCCTTCATTTTCTTGGCACCCAAACAAAAATAACTATCAATATAAAATGTGGAAATCTTCTTACCTTCATCTTGTGGCAACTTTGACTCGGAAAATCTCAATGACCATAAGCAACTCAGTCCAATAATCGAAAGCACAACAGTGTTTCTATCAAGAATAAGAAGAGAAGAAAAAAAGAGAAGAGAAGAGAAAAATACCCAACAATATGGCAATGTTTCACACAGGTATTTTATCAAACACAAGAAGGGCTTTTATACCATTTCCCTCACCCAACCCTCTTATAGCTCCCCAACATCTTCATTCCCTTTAGGAACCCCTATCCCACCTGGTTACACTTCCCCTTCCGCCCCTTGCCATAGCCCCTCCAACCCTCTACTACCATAGATCCATTGCCTCTTTCCCTCTTATCCACAACCACAAAACTACTCTTTTTCTCCACTACAAATCTAAAATGCCTGCCCTTTCCCTCTCTACTAAAGCACTGCTAGCCCTCTTCCTCTCACACCGCACCTCCATTACACCATTTCATCCCCACCACAGCGCCACCACATTACCGAAAACCCTTATCCCACCATTAAACAACTACGAGCGAGAGAGAGAGAGAGAGAGAGAGAGAGAGAGAGAGGCCATACCTTTGTAAGGGAGAAGGGATGGCGAGTCCACTGTGAGGGAGATTGGAAGAGGCTGAAGAGATCTTGACATTGAGCATACAATGAGGTGCTAGGGTTTTATTTGGAAAAAGTCTCAAAACGATTTGTCCTTACAAATTCAATCTTGTTTGCCTGCTGAGAGTAATGGAAGAGAAAAAGGCACCAGTTTGGAATATATTATTATGTAAAAACAATATATTCAAAACTACATACAATCACATTATTTAAAAGGTCTGAATAAAAAATATACATATAATCACATTTAATTTAATAATGAAATAAAAAAAATAAATATTATTATACTCAATCAAATTAAGTATGATTAAAATACCAATATAATTTTTTTTATCACACTTTCAATGAAAGTGAGATATTTTTATTTGTCAAAGTGTGATCTTTAACTGTTTTTGTAGTAGTGATATAATCACACTTTAATTAGAAGGTGTGATTAAAAAATATATATATAATCACACTTATTTAAAAAGTATGATTAAAAAGTAGTAGTGTATATATAATCACACTTTAATTTGAATGTGTGATTAAAAAATATATAAATAATCACCATTTAATTAAAATGTGTGATTAAAAAATATATATACAGTCACACTTGTTTAAAAAGTGTGATTAAAAAGTAGTAATGTATATATAAACACACTTTTAATTAGAAAGTGTGATTAAAAAATATATATATAATCACACTTAATTGAAAAGTGACATAAAAAATAAATATTATCACACTCAATCAAATTAAGTGTGATTAAAATAACAATCTAATTTTTTTTATCACACTTCCAATAAAAGTGAGATCTTTTTTTTTGTCAAAGTGTAATCTTTAACGATTTTTGTAGTAGTGAGATATGGACAAAATTATTACAATGATGGTATATCCAATGGGCTACAGCTGCAAAATTACAAACAGTGTGCAATATTATGATTTATTAGTAAAAGTTATGATATTTTGTTAATGTTATTATAATTGTGAGGAAAAAAGTTATGGTTGTGGTTAATTAGTAAAAGTTATGATTTATGCTACCAAAAGTTACGATTTGTAATGGTGAACCATAATAAAAAAATGTTACGATTCAAATGTTATGATAATTTGTAAGAAATAACTACATTTGTTATGAATCGTTGTCATATTGTTATGATTGATAGTGTTTTTGTTGTGACACCTTGGTGAATATTATGACATTGTTATGATTCATTGTAGTATTGTTTTAATGTAACTTGTTAGAAAACCGGTTTAACAAGTTACTTTTTATGATGTGGCACGATATAGACCACACAATAAGTATATATCATATTTTTTTTTTGAAGGTGCACATTGTAGACTTTATTCACACACATATATATTAGATATACTTTTCCTATGTAACATGGCCCCCCTTGGCTGTTTCTTTACTATTTGACTTTCATCTTCTCTATTTGAAAGGGAGAGTGAAAACTATTGATATGGAAAGGGAGAGTGAAACTTTATTTATAAAGGATTGGTGCATTAAGTAGCAATATCAACAACGACGTGTGCACCTTCAGCGAAACTCACTCAGGTCTGTAATTTATTGTTGCTTTTTTGTGGGATTTGGAAGATATTGACAGAATTATTACAATGGTGATATGTCCAATGGGCTACACCAGCAAAATTACAAACAATGTGCAATATTATGATTTATTAGTAAAAGTTATGATATTTTGTTAATGTTAATATAATTGTGACGAAAAAAGTTATGGTTATGGTCCAGTAATAAAAGTTATGATTTGTGTTACCAAAAGTTATGATTTGTTATGGTGAATCATAATAAAAAAATGTTACGATTCACATGTTATGATAATTTGTAAGAAATAACTACATTTGTTATGAATCGTTGTCATATTGTTATGATTGATAGTGTCTTTGTTATGACACCTTGGTGAATATTATGACATTGTTATGATTCATTGTAGTATTGTTTTCATGTAACTTGTTAGAGGACCGGTTTAACAGGTCACTTTTTATGATGTGGCACGATATAGACCACACAACAAGTATATATCATATTTTTTTTCGAAGGTACACATTGTAGACTTTCTCCACACACATATATATTAGATATACTTTTCCTATGTAACATAGCCCCCCTTGGCTGTTTCTTTACTATTTGACTTTCATCTTCCCTATTTGAAAGGGAGAGTGAAAACTACTGATATGGAAAGGTAGAGTGAATCTTTATTTATAAAGGATTGGTTCATTAAGTGGCAATATCAACAACGACGTGTGCAACTTCTGCGAAGCTCACTCTGGTCAGTCATTTATTCTTACTTTTCCGTGGGATTTGGAAGATATGGAGAAAATTATTACAATGATGGTATGTCCAATGGGCTACAGCTGCAAAATTACAAACAATGTGCAATATTATGATTTATTAGTAAAAGTTATGATATTTTGTTAACGTTATTATAATTGTGAGGAAAAGATTTATGGTTGTGGTTCATTAGTAAAAATTATGATTTGTGCTACCAAAAGTTATGATTTGTTATGGTGAATCATAATAAAAAAATATTACGATTCAAATGTTATGATAATTTGTCAGAAATAACTACATTTGTTATGAATCGTTGTCATATTATTATGATTGATAATGTCTTGGTTATGACACCTTGGTGGATATTATGATATTGTTATGATTCATTGTAATATTGTTTTCATGTAATTTGTTAGAGGACCGGTTTAATAAGTCACTTTTTATGACGTGACACGATATAGATCACACAATAAGTATATATCATATGTCCTTTTAGAAGGTGCACATTGTAGACTTCCCCACACACAGATATATTAGATATATTTCTCCTATGTAACGTGGCCCTCCTTGGTTGTTTCTTTACTGTTTAACTTTCATCTTCTCTATTTGAAAGGGAGAGTGAAAACTGCTGATATGGAAAGGGAGAGTGAAACTTTATTTATAAAGGATTGGTGTATTAAGTAGCAATATCAACAACGACGTGTGCACCTTCTGCGAAACTCACTCAGGTCAGTCATTTATTCTTGCTTTTCCGTGGGATTTGGAAGATATGGACAAAATTATTACAATGGTGGTATGTCCAATGGGCTACAGCTGCAAAATTACAAACAATGTGGAATATTATGATTCGTTAGTAAAAGTTATGATATTTTGTTAATGTTATTATAATTGTGAGGAAAAAAGTTATGGTTATAGTTCATTGGTGAAAATTATGATTTGTGCTATCAAAAGTTATGATTTGTTATGGTGAATCATAATAAAAAAATGTTACGATTCAAATGCTATGATAATTTGTAAGAAATAACTACATTTGTTATGAATCGTTGTCATATTGTTACGATTGATAGTGTCTTTGTTATGATACCTTGGAGAATATTATGATATTGTTATGATTCATTATAGTATTGTTTTCATGTAACTTGTTAAAGGACCTGTTTAACAAGTCACTTTTTATGATGTGGTACGATATAGACCACACAATAAGTATATATCATATGTTTTTTTCGAAGGTGCACATTGTAGACTTTCCCCACACACATATATATTAGATATACTTTTCCTATGTAACATGGCCCCCCTTGGCTGTTTCTTTACTATTTGACTTTAATCTTCTCTATTTGAAAGGGAGAGTGAAAACTGCTGATATGGAATGGGAGAGTGAAACTTTATTTACAAAGGATTGGTGCATTAAGTAGCAATATCAACAACGATGTGTGCACCTTCAGCGAAACTCACTCAAGTCAGTCATTTATTCTTGTTTTTTTGTGGGATTTGGAAGATATAGACAGAATTATTACAATGGTGGTATGTCCAGTGGGCTACACCAGCAAAATTACAAACAATGTGCAATATTATGATTTATTAGTAAAAGTTATGATATTTTGTTAATGTTAATATAATTGTGACGAAAAAAGTTATGGTTATGGTTCAGTAGTAAAAGTTATGATTTGTTATGGTGAATCATAATAAAAAAATGTTACGATTCAAATGTTATGATAATTTCTAAGAAATAACTACATTTGTTATGAATCGTTGTCATATTGTTATGATTGATAGTGTCTTTGTTATGACACCTTGGTGAATATTATGACATTGTTATGATTCATTGTAGTATTGTTTTCATGTAACTTGTTAGAGGACCGGTTTAACAAGTCACTTTCTATGATGTGACACGATATAGACCACACAATAAGTATATATCATATGTTTTTTTCGAAGGTGCACATTGTAGACTTTCCCCACACATATAAATTAGATATACTTTTCCTGTGTAACATGGCCCCCCTTGGCTGTTTCTTTACTATTTGACTTTCATCTTCTCTATTTGAAAGAGAGAGTGAAAACTGCTGATATGGAAAGGGAGAGTGAAACTTTATTTATAAAGGATTGATTCGTTAAGTGGCAATATCAACAATGACGTGTGCACCTTCTGGGAAACTCACTCTGGTCAGTCATTTATTCTTGCTTTTCCGTGGAATTTGGAAGATATGGACAAAATTATTACAACGATGGTATGTCCAATGGGCTACAGCTACAAAATTACAAACAATGTGTAATATTATGATTCATTAGTAAATGTTATGATATTTTGTTAATGTTATTATAATTGTGAGGAAAAAAGTTATGGTTGTTGTTCATTAGTAAAAGTTATGATTTGTGCTACCAAAAGTTATGATTTGTTATGGTGAATCATAATAAAAAAATGTTACGATTCAAATGTTATGATAATTTGTAAGAAATAACTACATTTGTTATGAATCGTTGTCATATTATTATGATTGATAATGTCTTTATTATGATACCTTGGTGAAT